AGCTGCTGCAATCTAGGGCTCTTGCAAAGGTTCCCACAGCCCTAAGGAAAAAATTGAGAAGTCAAAAGCGAAAGAAGAAAGCCCAAATGGGCTGGGTAACTAAGCCAGAGGAGAAAGAAAGAAAACATCAATGCCAATGAAAGAAATAAAGTCCATCTCTAAAAACCATGGGACTCAGAACAAGGTCCACACCTCCCCCAGCCCATGTTCCCCATCCACCCACCCCTCACCGGGCCACCACGAGAAACTGGTCGATCTGCCGGTCTGTGAGAGGGTTGTCTGGGTCCCAGACCTTCATCTCCATCTTCTGTTGGTTCCGATTATCAGATTCTCCTGGGGAACAGAACAATGGCATCAACAGGGAGAGGGTAAGGGGAAATAGTCGGTCTTTTCACGCACAATAACACCTCCTCCTTCCTCTTCGTCTGCTTGGATTCTACCAGCTCCCAAAATTCCCAAGTGTGCCGATTTGCTCTTTTCAGGTTCCTAAGGTCCCATCCTGTCAGGGTCACAGCAGAGAGCCCTGTGGACTGTGCCATACACCACCCCAGGTGATGCCATTGACAGAGACTATAACACTAAAGTGCCCCTTGGAATTAGCTAACCTGGTAGCTGTACAGTCTGTCCTGTTGCTTACCCTCTGCCAGGCGATCTGGGATCTCAGCTTGGTATTTGCAACCAACTCTGATCTCGCCCTGATCAGCTAGAAGTGTCTTCTGCACAGGGTCAAACACCAGTGAGTAAAAAAAGCAGTCCTGGAGTTGGGGAGAGACAAGGTAAGCAGGGCAGAAATCCACAGAGGCGGCAGGGAGGGAGGTGTATCCGAGTTTCCAATATAGGCAGTCTGGCAACCCTGTACCTCATCACTATTCTCCTTTCCCCCTCCCTTTTGGGGGCAATACCCATTCCCCTCCCTCTTCTCCCAACATCTCTTTCTCACCTCCTTTTCCAGATACTGGCTCAAGATATCTGTCTCATTCAAGAGGGTCACACTGCATTTCCCCCTATAGGAGATAGATCGGAAAACCCTGGTGAGCCCCACTCTCCCTCTCCACAGCATCTCTGAACACCACCTCCTTCTCTCTACCTTCCACCTAAGCGCATGCAGGCTATACTGGCCCCAGTTGTCCTATACCGTATGTGGGTGGCTGGTAATGATTCAAATTGCCGAGAAAGGAAAAGTTCCCGGTGCTTCAGTTGATGGCGCTGCTGCTCAGACACACCTGGCTGCTTTGATTCCTCTTCAAACTCCCCTGGGAGATTAAGGAGGAAGAAACAAAATCAGAAACGAATCCAGCAAGACACCACCCTGGAAACTCTAACTCAGAAAAAATATTTCCTATGTCAGCTGTTTTTTCACACATTTCCCAGGCATCTGCCTTCTATACCCTTATCCTACCAGCTTTTTCTTTTTTTTCTTTTTTTCTTTTTTTTTTTTTTTTGAGGTAGAGTCTCGCTCTGTTGCCCAAGCTGGAGTGCAATGGCACAATCTTGGTTCACTGCACCCTCTGCCTCCCAGGTTCAAACGATTCTCCTGCCTCAGCTTCCCGAGTAGCTGGAATTACAGGTGCCCACCACCACACCCAGATAATTTTCATATTTTTAGTAGAGATGAGGTTTCACCATGTTGGTCAGGCTGGTCTTGAACTCCTGACCTCATGATCTGCCTGCCTTGGCCTCCCAAAGTGCTGGGACTATAGGCGTGAGACACCGCACCCGGCCCCAGCTTTCTTTCTTAGCTCTATGCCTCATCATAGATGCTCCCAACTCTATCAGTAATGCTCTTAGGGAATAACTGCTGAAAGTACGAAGAATGCTGTAGAAATACATCCCTACCCAGCTGCCAATGCTCAGACACCACTCAAAGTCCACAACAGGCCAGCAAGAACATCACACTTTCTTGTTAAACCAGCCTGAGATCCAGGAACCCAATGAAATGAAAAAGTATCACACAAGACTGTTTACAATTCGTTTCAATTTCAGGAGATTCTGCTCTAAAACATCACACGTGGCCCTAACTATCTCTCATTTTCTACTTGGCTAACAATAGTTCCTGGGGTTTTCAAGGACAACACCTCTCAAGCTAGTGCCAACACCTTCCTCCCCAAGGAGCTGCAGCTTGCCCTGAAACCTTGTGGAAGGGGTTAACCTGGCTAGGCGCCAACCAAAGTGGGAGGGGACAGAAGAGCCTCAGGCCCAGGCTCATTGGTGCATTGTTCCCAACCTCAGGGAGAAGAGGGGGTTGTGCAGTAGGCTCCACCCCTGGCCTGTGTGCTCCGGAAACCCTGTGCTAAGGCAAGGGGGACCACACCCCCAACACCCATTCTGATTGGACAAGGCCAAGGTCAGCCCCTGCCAGATGGGGCTGGAAACCCTAAAGGGCCAAGGAACTTGGTAAGCTGGGATCCTCCTTAACCCCTTCTCACCCAGAACAGTCTGAAAAAGGAAAATTTATAAAGGTGGAACAAAAGGAAGGAGAAAGAAAACCAAAGCAGGAAAGGAAAAATAAGCTGAGGAAAACATGTTGTTTTTTTTTTTTTTTTTTTTTAAAAAAAAAAAAGAAGACAACGACGAGAGCTTAAAGAGAATGAAGACAGGGCAAAATGAAAAGGGGAAGATGTAAAATGGAGTGGGGGCCAGGAAATGGGTGAGGTAAGAAATGAAAAGTGCAAGAAAACTTTCCTACCATCTTCCAGCTTCCAGGTATACCTACCACCTTGTGATTACAAAATGAACCTACTTCCCTGTTACGCGGGCCTCTCAGTACAATCTCTTCCTCTTCACCTTGACCTTCAGTCACCACCTACTGTTTCAATGTACCCCAAACTGTCCCCCTTTAGCAAAGCATTCTGCTTCTCTAAAGTTCATCCTCATCCCCTAAATAAACATTACCATCTCTCTCTTACACTCATACACAAACCATATTATAGCTTTCCTTATCACAATCTCTCCACCCTGCTTCCACCCCCAACGTGTAAAAACAGGCCTCCCTCCTCAGACCAGGCATTTCCCACCCCTAAACTCACACCTCTGCCTTGGGCATGCTACCAGGAGAAACTCCTGCAGGGACATGCCCAGGCCTCAGATCAGGGGGAGGGGGAAAAGAAAGGATGAAGATACTCACTGGCATTACTATCAGCCAGGCTGTTGAGGCTACTAGAAATGTCCCTGCGCCGGAAAAGACAGACAACCTTTGCCTCCACATTTCCATTTGCAGTCTAAGGAGAGAAAAAAAAAAAATGTAACAGTGAAAAAATTGATCATCTGGGTACAGAAATGCACAAAGAGACAAATGACAGTAAGTTTCAGAGGGACCTAAATAAAAAATCCCAAGAAAATAGGAGTGAAGACTTACTTTCAAGGACAGACTTCCAAATCCCTTTCCTTTGCCCCCAAGAGACAGAATAGTAAAGTTCCTGCTAAGCTCTCAATAGCCTTTCCTAAATACATCCAATGAATGGATGAATATGAATGGATACTTAGCATAGAGTCCTCGCTTCCACCAGAAGTTAGAAACCTCAGAAGAAAGAGACCACTGGGGGAGGGAGGGCGAGGGATTCTGCTCCACTCACCTTGTTGAGCTCCTCAATCCGTCTAACCAGGTAAGGATTGCTGGAGGAGTTCTCAAAATAGACGTAATCTGTAAGGGAGGGGAGGGGGAAGAACCACGAAGATCAGAGGACGAGACGGGAGACACAGAGCACTAGAGTAGGAGAGAAAGTTGGCCTGAGTGGACCAAAAGAAGATAAAGATCCAGGTAGAGACGGCGCTGAGATGTGAAAGTGGAAAGACTAAGAGAAAATAAGGATGTTCCCCACCCCCACCCCACCTAGTTCTAAAATCAGATCCTTCACTGAAAAGTAAGCCTTAAGGAACAGGCAAGAAGCAGGGGTTCCCCTGCAGTCCCCACAACTCAGCTATGAGTTGCAGCCCAGTCGCGGCGAAGTCATTGTTCGCGCTAGCGCTGGGCCCCGACCTTTTCGAACCGAGGCGCACAATAACGCCTGGGAAGAGGAAACCTCCGGGCGGCTCCCCCGCGGTGGCAAAGCCGTCGCCCCAGCCCCTTGCGTCCACTTCCTAACAGGTCAGCTCCTTCAGAACCAGTTTCCAAAGCCCACTCTGTGCCCCAGGGAGCCCCCGACGCAGCCCTGAGAGTGCCGTCGGGGCTGCTCGCAGCTTCTCTCCGGGAGTCTCGGCACCCTGCCGCGTCGCCGTCGCCGTCCCCGTCCCCGCACCCTCGCTTCCCCGCTCCCAGTCTCCCGGTTCCGGTTCCGGTCCGCGCTCGGGTCCACGCTGCCCCAGACGCGGCGCCCCGCGCCACCCGGTGCGGAGCCCCTCCAGTCCCGACCCCAACCTCTCCCGCCCCGGGCCCCGCACCCCTGCACCCGGTACTCACCCCCAACCCGGTACATGTTGGCCGCCATGGCCGTTCCCGCCGCCGCCTCCGGCCGCACAAAGGGGTCCGGAAGGCTCGCGGGGGCAGGGCTGGGCTCGAGGCAAAGCCCCGAGCGTGGGGCTGGAGCTTCAAGGGAGTCTCAATGGGGCCCGCGCAGCCGGCACCTCCACTGCCTCAGCCGTCGCGGTTCATCCCGGCCCGCGTTGTCGCCGCCGTAGATATCGCCCCACTCCCGGGACGCTGAGGCCGGCCCCGGTCCTCTCGGCTTCTTCCGGAACGAGCTCGACTCCTGCCAGGCCAAAGCCAAGCTCCAGCTACCCCCGCCCCCGCCGAGTCCCACTAGTCGTTAGGATCTGCCGGCCGCGGGGAAGGCTTGCCCGGCCCGCCTCGGGGTTCGCCTCCTTCCGGAACACCTTCGGCCGAGCCGGAGAACAAGGCCCACCGCTCGGCTCAGGTCGTAGAGCGAGACCCTGCAGATCGGCTACTTCCGGAAGAAGTTCGGATCCCGTCGGCCAACCGCGGCCCGGCACTCGGCTATTTCCGTCGCAGCTCGGCCCCACCGCCTTTTCCGAGGGCGGGAGAGAAGTCGGACTTAACTGTGTCCTCGCTGGGTCCCTGCAGGTTCTCCTGCCGCCCGGAAAGACTCGCGCGCCTTCGCGCTTCGCCAGGTTATTTGCAAGCGGCTTTGCCTGTTATTTGCATAAATGGTCTACGCTCCCTAACCCTTTTCGCACGCCTCTTTTCCTTCGTCCCCACCCCACAAGGCCCCGGAGGCGCCCAGCAGCGCCCCACAAAAGCACCGGGAGGCGACTTTGGTTCTGGTTTATTGCCCCTCAGCAGGCAGCGGGAGTCAAGGCCTAGGCTGGGGCTGCCCAGCTCAGCCAGCGGGTCTAAACAGTGTGTGCAGAGGCGCCCTTCGCGCCCTCCGGGGAAACGCGCGATCGGGAATGTCTCAAAGTCAGTCGAGGAGTCGGCCCCTGGTCTATGGGGACTAGGGCGGGGCAGGGCGGGGTGGGTCCACGCCTCCAGCCAGTTGGTCCGCCAGGCAGCGATCAAACGTCGAGCGAGGAGGCGGGGGACAGGGAGGGGGTTCGAGAGGGCGTGGCGGGCACTGGCCCCGCGCCCCCGGCGCCCAGCACTCGCCACTGGAAGATGCTGGCGTCCTTGCCGCCCAGCGAGACGAGGTGCGAGTCGTCGTGCGTGAACCGGACGCTGGTCACGTGGCTGCCGTGGCCCCCGTACATGCGGCTCGGCGCCTGGGCAGGAGGGAAGGGAGTTGCGGTGGCGGTGGAGCCCTCGGGCCCACCCGTCCTGTCCTGCCCCACCCCCGCCCCGGAGGCCCCCGCGGCCTCACCTTGGCACGAGCGCACGGGTACTGGAAGAGATGCACTTTGCAGAAGTCGTCGGCCACCGCCACCACGCGCTCGTTGTGGGAGCGGCACAGGGAGTTGATGTCGGTCCCATCGGAGCCGTCCGGCCACACGCCTAGCACAGCGGCCGGCCTCAGCCCGACCTCCTCCCCACTGCCACCCACGGCCCAGAGCTGCACTATTTCAGGCGCTCCGGCAGCCACGGCCACCCACTGCCGCGTTCGAGGCAAGCCTTCCCGGTCCCGAGGGCCGGGGGGGCCTCCTAGGCTGGATCTTCAGGTTTCTGGACTCCCACCCAACAACACACGCCCAGCGTTCCGAGCCCAAACTGGGCTCCACCTTGTCCCCCACCCCTCCAGCAGGGTTCCACGCCCCTGCTCACCATAGACATGAAAGCCCAGCACACAGGTGTACGTAGCCCACTCCCGGTCTCGGCTCTCATAGCGATTCTTCAGCTGCTTGCAGCCTCCAGCCACGTCCCCTGGGGAGAAGGAGCCCGCCCAGTTCAGCTCTCACCCTGCTCTCAGTCAGGAAGATGCCATGGAAAGCCAGATTGTAAAGACTGGCATGAGACCCGGCAATGGCAGGTGATCTGGTCACAGTAGTAGCATCTCCCCCCTCCCACTGTGCAACCCACCCTGTGTGCGTCAGTACTGAGCTCTGGTTCAAGTTCTAACAGCTTCCGTGAGTTCCTCCTCCATAGATAAGTCCTCCACACTTGCCCTGAGAAACTTTTCCCAAACTTTTCTTGGAGCATTTTTTTTTCTTTTCTTTTTTTTTTTTTTTTTGAGACGGAGTTTCGCTCTTGTTACCCAGGCTGGAGTGCAATGGCGCGATCTCGGCTCACCGCAACCTCCGCCTCCTGGGCTCAGGCAATTCTCCTGTCTGGGCCTCCTGAGTAGCTGGGATTACAGGCACGCGCCACCATGCCCAGCTAATTTTTTGTATTTTTAGTAGAGACGGGGTTTCACTATGTTGACCAGGATGGTCTCGATCTCTTGACCTCGTGATCCACCCGCCTCGGCCTCCCAAAGTGCTGGGATTACAGGCTTGAGCCACCGCGCCCGGCCTCTTGGAGCATTTTTCAACTCCCTCCAGTCAACCACACGTGGACCATGAAACTAGTTGGTTTAAAATCACAAAATTTCTCCTATGTACAATTCCAGCTCCACATCAACCCCATCTCCACTTCCTTATCTGACAACACCTACAAGAGCCCCCTACAAATAAAACCCACTCCAATTACCCTCTCCCCACGTCCTGTTTCACTGCCACTCACAGTAAAGAATCTCATAGTCCCCAGAATTGGACATGATGAAATTCCCATCCTTGGACCAGTCAAGATGAGTGATGAAGCTGGAGTGTCCCTGGGAGCAAAGGTCAAGAGTTTTACAGTGTCCCATCCCTTTCCCATCCCCAGAGCCCCCTTGATGCATCAGAACCCTGTGAGTTTCCCAGCTGTTATCATGCCCACCATATGCCCCAACTTCCTCACCATACAGCGGCCAAAGCGGCTGGATTTGGCACCATCACTGGAAACACTATAGATGTAGATCACGTTGTCATGGGAACCAATGGCCAGGTACAACCCATCTGCAAATACAGTCACTAAGAAAGGGAAGAGCCAGGGACCCCTGTGAGTCCAGGGTGGGGGTGGCTCCCACCTGGGCTATACCGGACCACTGAGAGCTGCTCATTGCCATCGATGACATCAGACACGATTTCTCTGGTCTCTGTGTCCAAAACCAACCACCTGGAAGGGAGGGAAGTGGAGGCAGATAGGAAGGCAAAAAGGCAGGATGTGGGGAGACCCCCAGGGAGGCCACCCTGGGCAGGCTTGGGGGGCGGCAAATCGAAGCTCAGAGACACACAGAAAGACAGATGTAGAAGACAGGTCACAACTGCATTCTTTTTTTTTTTTTTTTTTGAGACGGAGTTTCGCTCTTGTTACCCAGGCTGGAGTGCAATGGCGCGATCTCGGCTCACTGCAACCTCTGCCTCCTGGGTTCAGGCAATTCTCCTGCCTCAGCCTCCTGAGTAGCTGGGATTACAGGCACGCGCCACCATGCCCAGCTAATTTTTTGTATTTTTAGTAGAGACGGGGTTTCATCATGTTGACCAGGATGGTCTAGATCTCTCGACCTCGTGATCCACCCGCCTCGGCCTCCCAAAGTGCTGGGATTACAAGCTTGAGCCACCGCGCCCAGCCGGCGCATTCTTTTTTTTTTAGTTTTCTCTTTCTCTCTCTCTCTCTCTCTCTCTCTCTCTCCTCTCTTTTTTGAGACAGTCTTGCTCTATCACTCAGGCTGGAGTGCAGTAGCAAGATCTCACTGCAACCTCCACTTCCCGGGGTTCAAGTCATTCTTGTATCAGCCTCCTGAGTAGTTGGAATTACAGGTGTGTACCACCATGCCCAGCTAATTTTTTTTTTTTTTTTAAGTAGAGATGAGGTTTCACCATGTTAGCCAGGCTGGTTTTGAACTCCTGACCTCAAGTGATCCACCCACCTCTGCTCCCAAAGTGCTAGGATTACAAGCATGAGCCATCGCGCTCTGCCACCACTGCATTCTTATGCTGAGACATGAGAAGGAGCTAAGTGCAGATAAAGACTGAGGGGCTTCCAGGGGCCAGGCGCGGTGGCTCATGCCTGTAATCCCAGCACTTTGGGAGGCCAAGGCGGGTGGATCACAAGGTCAAGAGATCGAGACCATCCTGGTCAACATGGTGAAACCCCGTCTCTACTAAAAATACAAAAAATTAGCTGGGCATGGTGGCGCGTGCCTGTAATCCCAGCTACTCAGGAGGCTGAGGCAGGAGAATTGCCTGAACCCAGGAGGCGGAGGTTGCGGTGAGCAGAGATCACGCCATTGCACTCCAGCCTGGGTAACAAGAGCAAAACTCCGTCTAAAAAAAAAAAAAAAAAAAAAAAAAAAGACTGAGGGGCTTCTAATGCCATCTAAAAAGGAATCAGAAACTACAGACCAGGGGCTGACTACAAAGGCCCTGTGCAGGCTGTAAGCCTGTCACTTCTCAGTGTTTGTCTCTGCTATGCCCCTCCCATTCCCACTGCTTCTCTATCCTGGGCTGCCACCTCCTCCAGTCCCAGGCTTGGAGGAGACAGTGGTTGGGGGAGGGGGAGAAACGATTACCATCAGAGAGGAGGGGAGCCCAGGCGGCAGGGGCTGTAGGGAGAGGCATGGAGAAGTCCCAAGACGCAGGTGGCTCCTGGGCAGAGGTGGTCACTCTTTCCCACTCCCCCATACTAGGAACCCTTCCCAGACCTCCCTGCTTTCCCTTCTGGGAGTCCTGGCTCCCTCTCACCTCCCTGTGTTCAGTCCTACAGCCACAACTGCCCCACTCGGGTGGAAGTCAGCACAGAGACCAGTCTCCTGGGAGAGGGGAGAAGGCGAATTCAAGAAGATGCCTTTCTAGTGAGGGAATCACAATGGACCCCTTGTCCTCCTGATAACTTCAAAGCCGCTTACTCCCAAGAAGATGGGAAGAGAGGGAAGGGATGCCTGGGTGTCACTGAACCTAAGCAGGCAGTGATACCAAAATATTCAACCACAGAACTGAGACCAACAGCTGTGCTGGAGATCAACCATTTAGATGCTGGACCAAGAGGAAGTCTGAGGGATTCTGGGGGTGTCGGGGAGTGCCCAGGCAATATTAGAAGCATCAGCTTTTACCAATCAGTACAGAAGAATTAATATTTGAGTAGCCAGTGCAGCCCTACCAATACAAACTAGCTGCCTCTGGAAGGCAGGAGGAAGGTGCTGGGGAAGGAGTGCCGGCTATGGGAGTCCTGGTAGGGGTGGTATGGGGGATCCAGGGACATAGGGCTCTACCTTGAGGTCGATGCTCCAGGCCAGCGCGTGGCTCTCCCCATCCCACAGGCAGAGCTGCCGGTCATGGCCACAGGTAAGGAAGCGGTTCTGGGAGGGGTGTGTGCAGAGCCCCCAGAGCTCATCAGTGTGGCCCTACAGCAGAGCATGACTGTCACTCCTGCCCCTCTCTCACACCCCTTTGCCCCCTCCTTCCCTGAGCCCTTAACCCCCAACCTGGATTACAGGGGAGAAGCCCTGGGCCAGATCTCCCCTCAGCAATGCATTCTTCGTGGTTCCCACCAGCAGCTCAGAGCCAGGCCCTTCAGCAATGGCTCGCACGGCCCCAAAGTGTTCAGGAATCTGCAGTGATGGCAGGATGTCAAGAGCCCACTGACCATTGCTTTTACCCCTCGCTCCCTTGACCCCAGCCCAGCCCTCACCTCAGCTTCCTGGAGGGCCACCAACCCGGGCCCCCACTGTACCAGCCGGCGGTCCCGCCCGCCACCACTCAGCACTGTCCCGTCCCGCCGAAGACACAAGGCGAAGATGGAGCCTTCATGAGCGTGAGCCTGGGCCACAATCCCATAGGTCTCTGTTGGCAAAGCCCCAAGTAGGTCATGTTTTTGGGGTACAGGGGAGTGAGAAGCAGGGCCAGCTTTGGCTAGCACAATAGAGTAAGAACCCCCAGCTAATGAATGCACTCACTACTATCTCTCATCCTCATATTGCCAACAGATCTGTTATTCTCCCCATTTTACAAACAGGACAACTGAGACTCAAAGAAGTGCAGTAATTTCCTAAAGGCCAGATAACTAATGACAAAACTGGAATTTGAGCCTGAGATCTGGCAAACTCAAAGCTCCAGCCCTTTCTCCTTTGCTGTGCTGCCCACACCCTTCTAGACTAGCCCCCACAGAGAATTATCAACTCTCAAGGTGAAAAGATGGGAAACCTGGCCAGACACGCCTGTAATCCCAGCACTTTGGGAGGCCGAGGCAGCCTGAGGTCGGGAGTTCGAGACTAGCCTGGGGTCTTGGAATCTGAAAGGCTCTGCCTGGATTCAAGTTCAAGACCAGCCTGGCCAACATGCTAAAACCCCATCTCTACAAAAGACAACAATTAGCCGGGCATGGTGGCGTGTGCATGTACTCCCGGCTACTTGGGAGGCTGAGGAGGGAGGATCGCTTGAACCTGGGAGGCAGAGGTTGCGGTGAACTGAGATCGCATGACTGCACTGCAGCCTAAGCAACAGAGTAAGACTCTGTCTCAAAAAAAAAAAAAAAAAGGGGTGGGGAATGGAAAATCCTCTCCTCTGTTCCCACAGACCCTCTGAAGTACTAGACTTCCCAGATGCTACCCCCAGCCACATACCTTTGGCCCCACCCCTGCCTGGGGTCTTGGAATCTGAAGGGCTCCGCCCCCAGGTGAGAATGTTCCCCTCTGAGTCCCCAGTGAGAATGTCTCCATCCGGAAGGAATACAAAGCAAGGGATAAATTTGGGTTTCTTGTATTTCTAGGGTGAGGGGAGAGCAGAGAGCAGAGGTCAAAGGGGAAGGCAAAGATTAAAAGTCACAGGCAGGGCAGGCCAGGTGCAATGGTTCATGCCTGTAATCCCAGCACTTCGGGAAGCCAAGGCAGGCGGGTCACCTGAGGCCAGGCATGAGACATGGTGAAATCTGTCTCTACTGAAAATACAAAATTTAGCTGGGCATGCTGGTAGGTACCTGTAATCCCAGCTACTTGGGAGGCTGAGGCGGAAGAATTGCTTGAACCCAGGAGACAGAGGTTGCAGTGAGCCGAGATTGCAATCGTGCCACTGCACTCCAGCCTGGGTGATAAGAGCAACACACCGTTTCAAAAAAAAAAAAAAAAAAAAAAAAAAAAGCCAAGTGTGGTGGCTCATGCCTGTAATCCCAGAACTTTAGGAGGCCCAGGTGGGCGGATCACAAGGTCAGGAGTTCGAGACCAGCCTGGCCAACATGATGAAACTCTGTCTCTACTAAAAATTCAAAAATTAGCCAGGTATGGTGGCGTGCATCTGTAATCCCAGCTACTCGAGAGGCTGAGGCAAGATAATTGCTTGAACCTGGGAGGTGGAGGTTGCAGTCAGCCGAGATCCCGCCACTACACTCCAGCCTGGGCAACGAGCAAGATTCCATCTCAAAAAAAAAAAAAAGGCCGGTTGGGCAAAGTGGCTCACGCCTGTAATCCTAGCACTTTGGGAGGCCGAGGTGGGTGGATCACCTAAGGTCAGGCGTTCAAGACCAGCCTTGCCATCATGGTGAAACCCCATCATAAAAAAAAAAAAAAAAAAAAAAAAAAAGTCACAGGGCAGGTGGGGGTTAGGGAACCTTAGGGTCTACAGTACTCAGCCCAGTACTTCCTCTTCCACTCTGCCCTCCCCATCATCTTCTACTGATCCATGCCTCACCCCAAAGACTCCCTGTTTCCGTGTAAGGTTCCCATTCCCAGGAACCCCTACTCCACCACTCCAGTTCCAGAAATGGACGTGAGATTTCCCACTGGTGACGATGCAGCTGCTGTCACGAGGGTTGAAGCCAACAGCCAGGACTGAGTCATTTGTACTCTGAAGGGAAGACACTAGATTCAGCCACCCCAAGCCCTGAGTACCTTCCTTCTACTTGACTCTCCTCAATTGTATCATGACAGCTGGCTGGCAGAAGTCCAGGAACCCCAGGACAACCCTTCTTTCAAGACCCTGGTCCCCTAAGAGCACTATTCCCTGTCAATCATAATTAATCACCCTAATACCTAATACATTATCCCTCATGAGGTCAGAACCCATATCACAAATGAAGAAACTAAGACTCAGAGGAGCTAGAAGATTTGTCTCATGTGACCCAGCCAAAAAGGAAGGAAATGTATGGGTGAGTCTGGAGCTCTCTGTACTCCACCACTCTCACCCTCAACCTCAGAGCCCTTCCAAGCCACGTGCACTCCTCACCTTGATCTCAGCCAGCTTCATTCCCCGGCTGCAGTCCCACACCGACAACATGTGCTCATTGGAATCGTCCACCACACAAAGAAAGGCACCCTGATCCTTAAGAAAGGTGACACATGGGAGGGGCAGAGTGAGCCCTGGAGGTCCAGGGGTTCATGGTCATTAGGTTAGGAGGTACCGTCACAGATGGAGAGGACAGGAGAACTTGACACATGTCCCTTTCCCAAGAGAACCAGCTGGATGGGGTTCAGGAAGGCCAGAACTTCCAAGGCTTCCTGGTGACGTGCAAAAGTGGGGTTCCTAGGTAAGAATGGGGGTCTAGAGGCTTCGGGGCCAGCTCACCGCAGCTGAAAAGGCCAGAGCCCCAACACCCCGCTCGAAGGCCCCCAGTCCAATCTCCTGCAGTTTCAGCAGCGTCTCCGAGTCCCAGATATGAACCACAGGCTGCAGGGGCTGGTGGAAGAGGAAGAGTCACCAGTGTAAAGAAAAGCTGGGCTGCGATTACCGCGTGTCTGCCTGCTCCTCAACTTTGGCCTTACCTTTCCATCCTTATCCACTCCAGCTGTCTGTCCCGAGGCTACCCGAACACCATCAGGGTGAACAGCAAGGCTGAGGCAGGGGGAGACACTCTAGGGAAAGGGTCTCTCCAGACCATCCAAGACACCTTCTCCAAGCTTGCAGACCAGCAAGGCGACTCTTCCCTCCTGCTCCTCCACCCTCCCAGACCCTCTTCCTGCCAAGCCCACCATCCCCAGGCCCCTCACCATCTAACGCAGTCTGTGTGCCCCCGGTAATGTCTCTGGCCACCGCCTCCAGGACCCCCTGGGCCTCCTCCAGGCCGATACAGCACCACCACACAGGCGATAAAGTAGACCACCTCCCCAGAGCGCAGCACAAACAGATTAGAGCGGGAGTCACGACCCCTGTACCCATAACTGGGGTGGGGTCACGGTCAAGGAAAGGGTTAGATCAAGGGCAGGAGGAGGAAGGGGGGAAAAAGACAGAGCTTCTGGCTGGCAGTGCCTGGGGAAGAATAATGGTAGGAGAGGATTTAGAAGGCCCCTTGTCCCCATAGACCCAGGAGAAAACTGTAAAGGGAAGAAGGGTCCTGAGGTGAGAAAGGTGGTTCCTATGGGACTGGACGGGGCAGGATACACCCAGTCAAGGCTGAGGGTCTCTGGCGGTGGGCCGCTGGGCAGCTCCTCAAGGCTGCGGATGCCAGACGGGATGTACATGGTAATGGGGCGACCTCGAAGGAACATCTTCACTGAGATGCCTTCTACAGAGAAAAAGGGTGGTGTCAACTACCACCCACAGCCCCCCTTCCAGGAAAGACAGAGCAGAACTCTACCCACCACACCTCACAGCCCAAAATAGCTCCTGGGGCTATAGCCCAAATCCTAACCCTGCCATCCAAGTTTTTCTCTCTGTCCCTATGTACATACCCAAATTGTAATTGCTCCTCCGAGATCCAGGGCCCCCGGGGCTGGAGAGAGGGTCTTTTCCCCCACGGCTATTGGGAAGAGAGAAAGCACAGGGATTGGGGTCAGGTCCCAAGACCTAAGGGGGGGGACAGGGAGGACACAAGAAAGGAGGTCACTGCAGAAACCACAGTCACCTCACAAGCCTGTAGTTTGCTTCATGAGCATCAGGGCCCTAGAATAGACGGAGACTTTAGTTCCATTTAAGAGATGAGAAGCCGGGCGCAGTGGCTCACGCCTGTAATCCCAACACTTTGGGAGGCCGAGGCGGGTGGATCACGAGGTCAAGAGATAGAGGCCATCCTGGTCAACATGGTGAAACCCCATCTCTACTAAAAATACAAAAATTAGCTGGGCATGGTGGCGCATGCCTGTAGTCCCAGCTACCCGGGAGGCTGAGGCAGGAGAATTGCTTGAACCCAGGAGGCAGAGGTTGCGGTGAGCCAAGATCACGCCATTGCACTCCAGCCTGGGTATCAAGAGCGAAAGTCCGTCTCAACAAAAAAAAAAAAAAAGAGATGAGAAGATTGAGGCTGAAGGGGCTCAGCACACAGCACAGGGCCACAAAATTTGGAAGAGGCAGTGCAGGGTGCCAGAGCCCTTTCTCTCCTCCAGACCACCAGGCCCCGGTCTTACTCTGTCACCCAGGCTGGAGAGCAATGGTGCAATTTTGCTCACTGCAACCTCCACCTCCTGGGTTCGAGCAATTCTCCTGCCTCAGCCGCCCCAGCAGCTGGGATTATAGGTACACTACCACGAGGCCTCACTATTGACCCTTTAATCTCCCCATCTGTAAAATGGGACCAAAGGGAGTGCAGAATGTACACCAGCCCTGCCTCTCAGGAATGCGGGAGGTAAGCAAGAAAGTCCACATCTCTCCAGAGATCCCTGCCATTAGATAACAGTAAGGTGATACTATCTTTTCAGAGAATAAAGCACAGGCCAAGGACAAGGCTAGAATGAACATTCGAGTGTCCTAGGTCCCATACAAACTCTGAGGCTACCACGTTCGGTCACCAGGACGTCCCCTTGCCCTCTAGAAGTAAGTATTAATAGATTGGTACTTGGTAGATCCAGCGGAAAAAGGGCTGAAGCTCTAGGGACAGGCATCCATGAAAGTCATGGGAGCTTCTAGAAAAGCCTCTTGGGATCGCGGAAAGTGTGCTGTGATGTAGTGGAAAGAGTAGGGGAACTGGAGTCAGGAAAAGTTAGGTTCAAATCCTGACTCAAGTTGTGTGACCCCAGGCAAATGACTTACCCTCTCTGAGCCTGCTTCCTCACCTGTGCAATGGACAGCATGAGACCACCTACCCCCCAAGGATGTTGTAGGGACTGACTGAAATGGAGGAGGTCGAGGGTTTAGCACAGTGCCCGGTACACAGCAGGCGCCCCAGGAGTACTTGTTGCTTTCTTCCTGTTGGGCAATGAGGTCCCCCCACCCCACCCAGGGATGTGAGGTGATGTGGAAAGTCAAGAGCCTGCCCCTGAGGCGGGGTGGGTTGGAGGGAAGCCTCACCCACCTCTCTGTGCTCCCGGACCGCACTAACAGGTTGGCGGAGGAAATTGCCTTCCTGGAGAGCTTCTGCCGAGGCCGCTCTGAGGGGGATGAGGAGGAGGAAGAATTTCTTCGAGGCCTGGTGGGGGCACAGTGAAGGTCATTCCTTCCAATTGCACTCCGAAATCCCACCACCTCTCCCAGCTTCCACCACGAGGCCACAGGACACCTACGTGTCAGCACGCTGTGGGGGCTGCAAGGGCCTGAGGATCCCCGGGGGCCCGGGCGAGCCAGCACCACTGCTGCTGCTGCCCCCTCCTTCAGATTGGGTCCCACTGGGCTCTTCGCTAGCTCCCTGAGGGGCTGGGGGTCCATTGCTCAGGCCAGGGGGTCCAGGGGGTGACTTGAGCTCCACCTCTGTCTCTGTCTGGGTGCCTCGGCTCACCAAGGAGGGGGTGCAGGTGGGTGGCAGTCCTGGGGGTGCTGCAAGACTGCTGGAGAGATGGTGAATTAAACTGAAGCCCCAGAGGCCCCAGGAAGGAGGAAAAAGGGGGTGTGCTGACATGCATACCTGTCCCCTGGAGGAGCTGGTGTGCCAGATTCCTGCAGGGAGGAGGGGGGCACCTGCAGCCGCAGCAGGCGAAGGGCTTCTGCCAGGGCTGCCTTTACCAGCTCCATCTCCTGCTCCTGCACCCGAAGCCGCCGGCTCAGAGACTGCAGGGCCTCCCGAGCAGGGCCCTCACCTGGGAAAAGGGCAAGAAGTACTCAGAATGTACCCACCACCTGGGGAAAGCGTAGAGGGGATTCTGTCCCCTCACAACGTTACATGTGTCCAGCAGGACTGCCCTTTCAAGCAGTCCCAGCTTTGGATGCTCGTCCAGACGGGAGGAGACGGTGGTAGAGGATCAAGGGCCTCCTCCTGGCAGGGCAGGCGAGAAAGCTGGCAAAGCTCCCTTCCTGCTGCCGTCTCAGCCTCCGCAAAGACTGGGAGTACCATGGAGTATGGGGCGGGGTGGGGGGGATATGAAGTACTGCCGAGGAACGTGGGAGCCACAGAGAGAGGCACCGCACTGGTGAGGGGAGGGACGGCAGCCCTCCCTCCCCACGCGCCCACAGCAAGCTCAGGTCTCCAGCGAAACAGGAGTAACTGAGCGGGGGGAACTCTGGGAGAGAGGTCGGGGCACGGGAATTGAGTCATACTGGGGACCCAGAGTACAGGAAAACAGATCCAGGGTGACAGGAGAGGGGTTTGGGTGGTGAGCAGAGTCACAGTGAAGGTCTCGGGGAACAGTGGGGGTTAGAAGGAAAACGACCTGAAATACCAGGAGAAGAGGCCCGGAGTAACGTAGGGAGCAGAGAAACATCCAGGGGTCTGGAGTTACGTGGGGGGTAGAATGACGCTGGAGAAGCCCGAAGTGACAGCAAGACCCGAGTAACTAGGGAGGGCTAAAGGAGGAACTGTGGAGGATGCTCGGAGTCCCTGGGCAGAGGAGCACGCGGGGACGCCTCCAGACATCGGTCCAGCTCTGGCAGAGCCCGACGGGCCGGGCGCTCCGGGAAGGGGCACGCTGCCCGCCCCGCCCCGTACTCACCGGGCCCCGCGGCCCCGTCCATCCGGCCCCCGGGTTGCTCCGAGCGGCGGCGGCGGAGGAGGCGTCTAAGCCGCAGGGGCCACGGCCGGGGAGAGGGGAAGGGGAAGCACCCCGGGGCGCGCGCGAAGGGCGCCGTACCACCACCCCGCGGGGGCGCTGTCGGGCGCGAGGAAGGAGCCTGGAGGGGGCGCTGTGGGCCCAGGGCCACAGTCTCCGGACCCTTCGGGGCCCTCGAACTCTCCCGGGGCCGCTCTCGGCTCCCGGGGGTGGGCTGGCGGGGCCGTCCGGGGCCACGGCGCCGCAGCACAAACAGGCGCCGGACGCGGAGCCGCCAGGAAGCGCGGGGCGGGGGGGGGCGGACCACGGCGGGGGGGCCGGGCCGCCTGGTAACCCCTCCCTGTCCGGGCTTCACCGCTCAGTACGGGGGCGGGGCCAGCCGGCTGACCCCCTGGACTGCTCGCGGCCTCCGGCTTCAGGCCCTTCCTGGATCCCCGCCCCCGGATTCCCATGGGACGCGGGAGGGAACGCCTGCCCCGAGGTCTCCGCCCCCCAGCCCCAAGCCCCTGAGGGCTGAGCGGACTAGCTCCACCACTTCCGCGAGGAGCAGGGGCGGGGTCACAAAACGGGCCCTCGGCCTAGGGGCGGAGCTTCTCCTAAGGGGCAAGGCCGAGGCATCCTGTATTGGGGCTGACAGGGCGGCGGGTTATTAAGGCTGAGGCTGGGAGGATGCTCAGGGTATTGGGGTCAGGGTGGCATTAGCTCAGCTCAAGCCGTTCCGGGCTGACTCAGCATCCTGCCCCAGCCAGCTTCCATCCCCGAGAGCCCTGCACTTCCTTGGGCAGAGATGGGAGATGGCGCCGGTGTTGCCCCTGGTGCTGCCCCTGCAGCCCCGCATCCGCCTGGCACAAGGGCTCTGGCTTCTCTCCTGGCTACTGGCACTGGCCGGTGGCCTCATCCTCCTCTGTAGCGGACACCTCCTGGTCCAGCTGCGGCACCTTGGCACCTTCCTGGCTCCCTCCTGTCAGTTCCCTGCCCTACCCCAGGCTTCCCTGGCAGCGGGTGCGGTGGCTCTGGGCACAGGACTAGTGGGTGCAGGAGCCAGCCGGGCAAGTCTGAATGCAGCTCTATACCCTCCCTGGAGAGGGGTCCTGGGCCCACTGCTGGTGGCTGGCACAGCTGGTGGCGGGCTTCTGGTCCTCGCCCTTGGCCTAGCCCTGGCTTTGCCTGGGAGTCTGGATGAGGCGCTGGAGGAGGGCCTGGGGACTGCCTTGGCTCACTACAGGGACACAGAGGTGCCTGGGCACTGTCAGGACAAAAGGCTGGTGGATGAGCTACAGTTGAGGTACCACTGCTGCGGGCGCCATGGCTACAAGGATTGGTTTGGGGTCCAGTGGGTCAGCAGCCGTTACTTGGACCCCAGTGACCAGGATGTGGTTGAGTGAGTGATTTGCTTCTCCCTTCCTCCTCCTCCTCCTTAGCCAGGCTCCCTCCTGCTGCCTTGAAACCCCACCTGGCCCAGAAAGGCAATAAGTAGAGCACAATAGCGGAGAGGCGGGTTACAGCTCTGCTATTTATTAGCTGTGAAACCCAGGCATGTTACCAAACCACCCTGGGCCCATTCCTTCACCTGTAAAATGGAGATAATAGTACCTATCTGATAGAGTCATTGTGAAGATAAAGTGAATTATGCTTGGCTGGCACATAAGCCAGCAGTCAGTAAATGTTTTCCCATCCTTTTTCCCTTCTCAAACACCTGTGTCCCTCACCTCCTCCCCCAGGCTTCTATCTCCAAACATCCTAAAACCTCTGTCCCTCCGTTTGCAGCCGGATCCAGAGCAATGTGGAAGGCCTATACCTGACTGATGGAGTCCCTTTCTCCTGCTGCAACCCCCACTCACCCCGGCCTTGCCTGCAAAACCATCTTTCAGACTCCTACGCCCACCCCCTGTTCGATCCCCGACAACCCAACCAAAACCTCTGGGCCCAAGGGTGCCATGAGGTGCTGCTGGAGCACTTGCAGGACTTGGCAGGCACACTGGGTAGCATGCTGGCTGTCACCTTCCTACTGCAGGTGAGTCAGCAAAGCATCTGAGGCCTCCTCCCACCTGGGACTCCTCCCTGCCTCCAACGCTGGGCCTCCTGGAAACGCTGACTCTCTCTGACTCTTTCCCCTTGCTTCCCCCACAGGCTCTGGTGCTCCTCGGCCTGCGGTACCTGCAAACAGCACTGGAGGGGCTTGGAGGGGTCATTGATGGGGAAGGAGAGACCCAGGGCTATCTCTTTCCCAGTGGGCTGAAAGAGATGTTAAAAACAGCATGGCTACAGGGATGGGTTGCCCGCAGGCCAGCACCTGAGGAGGCCCCACCAGGAGAGGCACCTCCCAAGGAGGATCTATCTGAGGCCTAGGGGCCTGGAGCTTGTGGTGGGGAAGAGGGAGGGATGGACAAGTCTGGAAACCTCACAACTCCTTACCAAGGCTCCAGGTTGAGAAGGGGAATCCTGGGATTAGAAGGGTTAAGGGTAGTCAGTGAGCTGGACTGGGGTAAGAAAGAAAACAAGATATCCTAGGGCCTAACCCTTGTAGCCAGAACCACCAGGGAACCACCGCCAAGAACAGAGTGATGGGCAAGTGACATGGGAAGGCCTGGAGACGGATTCTGGTACAAACTCAATAAAGGTTTTGGATGGAAGCAACTGCTTTTTCTTTCAAGGGGATGGGGGCCTGGGAGAACTGATTTCTGTCTGATGGAGCAGCCAGGACTCCAAAGTTTGGACCCTGGCTCGACCTGTGCAGAACAGAAGCCCACATCTGTAAGGATCAGAAGCGACAACCTGATGTAGAAGGAAAGGAAAACAACAGGCCCTCCAGGTTGAGATTCTTTATTCTGGAGGTAGGAGGGAATCAGCATGCTCAGGTGGGGAGGGTCCAGCCCAGCCCCTCCAGCCCCCAGTGCATGCCCAGCCCCGGTAAGTTACCCAGTGACTCAGCTGCCCTCCCTCTTGAGTCCATCTGTCCTACTCCACCCTAGACAGGGCTGACCTGGCTCAATACAAGGGCTGCTTGTCCCCAGCCTGTGGGCAGTGCCACATGGCAGGCCGGGGGAGGGGCAAAGCAGCAGGGCCATGCCGTGGGCCTGGAGGGGCAGAGGGGCCACTTCTGGCTCTGAAGGGTCAGGACTTGGAAAGCCACATCCTGGGCAGGCCTGGGGCCCAGTCCCACAAGGTCTGTGCCTGGAAAGAGGTGGGAGTTGGGGTGGGGCCATCACACCTCAACTGCTGGGTCTGAGCCCCGGCCCTGCCGTTGCAGCTGCTCCTCCTGCTTCATCTTGGGCTTCTCTGTCCGCGTATGCCACACCAGTACCTGTGCCAGGAGGGAAGCAATGAGAGCCAGGCCTCTGGGGCCCTCAGCCTGGAATGGATTCGCTTACCCTCTCCACATATTCAGAGTGTAAAGGGCAGGGTGGAGGAAGACTTAGTGCCTCTAAAACGGGGCCTTATTCCTTCATCCTGTCTGTGCCACATGGGTTCCCAGGACTCAGGGACGGAGTGGCAGCAGACCACTTTCCCTCCCTGGTTCCCAGCTTCCCCTTCAGTAGAGTCAGCAAGGCTGATCAGAGATCTGGAGAGTCCCTCCTGGTTAAACCACCCATTCCCAGGGTCTCACTGCACCTCCCCAAAACCAGTCTGTCCCAGAGCCAGGTTTCTGTACTCGCCTCCATTCCCTTACCCGAGTACAGTTGGCAGCCCGTGGCTCCAGGTCCTTGGGATCCACAAGGTGGCTCAGAAGACTGCTCTCCAGGTGGCCCCGGGGAGCGGTGGAATCAAACTGGGCATTGGGTTTAGCCAACAGCAAGGGCAGGGCCACAGCAAATCCAGCCATATCCACAGGGAAGGGCCTGTTGGGCTCCCATGCTGTGTGGAAGCCCACAACCCGGCCATCCTGGACCTGAGGGCCCTCAAATCGCAGGCCGCCCACCAGTCCCACAGGCCACACTGAGACACCACGGGTCCAGCGCATCTATCGGAGGTTGGGAGAGAAGAAACAGAGGAGTGGTCCAGGGAAGGGAGCAGCAGAAGGAGCCACCTGGCTCACTCTGCCACTGCTTCCAGCCTCTCACCCAGCAGCCAACGGCAACACTGCTAACCAAGGTAATGAATGAAGGTGGCCTCACCTGGCCTCTTGCCCATCCCCATCCTCCTGCTCACCTCCTCAAACAGCTCCCGGCTGTAGGTGTTGTCATCATCAGCAAAGTACACAACTCCCTGGGTCCCTGGTGGTGGTGGGTCCTTCTCCCCACCCACAGCTCCCCCTCTGCCCCGGAGCCAGTCCAGGGCCTTGTTCCGCTGCTCTACACCACGGGGATGAACCCAGCCAGGCTCGCCCTCCCGAAGCCGCTGGGCTTTGGGTGTGAGGACCACCAGGTGGGTGAAGAGAAGGCCAGAGGCAGCCAGCAGCCCTGAGACCAGTGGGGTGGGACCCTCAGCGTCCTCCACCAGCAGCCAATGTAGCCGGGGCACCAGGCTCAGTGTCTGGGACAGCCGTACCAGCTCTGCCTTCTGTACCAGCCTGCAGGGGAGAGATGCAGCACGAGGGAAAAGGGTAGGCACCATTTGCCCACTCCAGCTAGGGCAGACAGCTTCACCTGGGCCACTGCCTGTATCTCCCGTGGTCTTTCCCAACCAATGCCTAAACTCCCTCTTTCTTGCCTGTCAACTTCATGCTAATACTCCCCTAACCTGTTCTTCCAGTTCATGTCCATCCCTCACCTCAACCCCAGAGCTCTGGCTATGGGAGACTATAAATTAAGGGCACAGGGCCAGGTACGGTGGCTCACACCTGTAATCCCAGCACTTTAGGAGGCTGAGGCGGGTGAATCACCTGAGGTCAGAAATTCCAGACCAGCCTGGCCAACATAGTGAAACCTGTCGATACTAAAAAAATACATGCTGGACGTAGTGGCGTGTGCCTGTAATTTCAGCTACTCAAGAGGCTGAGGCAGGAGAATCACTTGAACCTGGGAGGCGGAGGTTGCCATGAGCGAGATTGAGCAATTGCACTCCAGCCTGGGTGCCAAGAGTGAAACTCTATCTCAAAAAAAAAAAAAAAAAAAAAAAAAAGTTTGGGCACAGTGGCTCATGCCTGTAATCCCAGAACTTTGGGAGGCCAAAGTGGGCAGATCACCCAAGGTCAGGGTTTCAAGACCAGCCTGCCCAACATGGCGAAACCCTGCCTCTACAAAAATACAAAAATTAGTCGGGTGTGGTGGCAGATGCCTATAATCCCACTATTCGGGAGGTTGAGGCAGGAGAATTGCTTC